GATCAATGGATCCAAATTTATTTCATGGTAGACGTTACGTCTCACCTAAATCAGCTTAATCGTAAACTACAAGGGAAAGGAAACTTAATTTTTTCGATGTTAGAAAAGTAATAACATTTGAAAACAAATTATCCATTTTTGCACAGGCTTTTGAAAGGGAAACATTGTTTCACTTTCCGAGCCTGCTGAAGCATCGCCAAGAAAATAATTCCTCTGCTGATAAACACCCTTTTAAATATGAGGAAAGCATTCCTCAGCAGGTTTCAGGAATTTAAAAACAGCAGAGCAACTTTAGCATTTGTCAAAAATCATCTTAATGCTACGATAACCGGGTTGAAATTTTCTCCTTTTGAAATTGGCATTGGTAGCTTTGAAATACAATTGCTGGATTTAAAAAACAAGGAGATATGGCGCTCTAAATTCGAACGTCTTTGTGTTGAATTGGAAATATTGGAGAAGAAAAAATGTGATCTTAGTTCACAACACAAGTGGTCTGCTTTTAATGACCTGGAGAAGGAAGACATGATCATTTTCAACGCTTGGAAGAGTATTCCTGACTCTTACGATCAGCTGAAAAAGCTCGCGTTTGCTGTTCTTTCCCTTTTCGGTTCTACATATATATGCGAACAATCTTTTTCAAGCACGAACATTATCAAGAATAAACTGAGAAGTCGTCTTATTGATAAGAACTTGGAACATGCCTAAAATTAAAAACAACAACATACAAACCTGACTTACTCAAACTTTCCAAGGAGATGCAAGCACATTGTTCGCATTAATAAATATTTATTAAGTATTAAATTTAGTTTTATTTAGTGTAATAAAAATTTGCTAAACAAGCAGATTTGTCTCCCAATTTTTTTAAAAATTGTTGTAATGTTCATATTTGGCTCTTTGGCTAATACGTTTGCCGACCACTGCCCTAGATGGAATTCTCAGTATGCAGCTGTTTTAACCACCCGGCCACTGGTGGGAACTGAGATGAAAAGAAAAACCTTAAGCATTCTTACTAATTTTATTACAAACTTTAATTAATTAAATTACATAGTAAGACGAAAATAAAATAATTAAATTGTTTATCAGTCTTGCGCCACAGAACCGATGCTAAGACTTTCTGCTATCCGTTACTTCCCTAAATTAAAAAAAAAAAAAAAAAAAAAAAAAAAAAAAAAAAAAAAATTTTTTGCCGGACTTTAAACTTTGTAGCACTAGCTGTGTCGTTTTTAGCAACCGTACTTCGATAATAAAAATAACCTCATATCCATATGCTATCATTAGATTGAAATGTTGGGACCATACATTAGCAGAGATTTCTCGTGCATGGCATTGTGTATTAGCATTAGTTTACAAATCGAGGCTTCGCTAAATGGTATCCCTTGCCAAGATAAGGTCCAATGTTTGTTTTTTGGAAAAAGACATAAAAAACTAAAATACTAAACTTAAAATTTTGTTCCTGCTTCTAATTTTACAATTTTTAAAACCCAGCGGGGAAAAAATTAATATTTTATATATTATAGAAGAATATGAATGCCTCAATCGTCCTTGCATACATCAGGTCTCAGCTGGAAATATCAAGATGGTACTTTTTACGAACACGATTACACAACCATGGACGTTAGGGAAATATACGTATTATCATATCACGTCTAACTATAGAATTTTACACTTTATGGTTAATAAATGTCCACTTAGTGAGATTCAATATGGATTTACCTTTGGAAGAGGTACGGAGGATGCACATTACCGGGTTGTTGGATGTCAGACGCTTTAGGGGTGAACAACACGTAGCTTTGATTTCTCTACACATTTCGGCTGCATTTGACTTTGTTGCTTGGTCTTTCTTGTTGCATAGTTTGGTTAAAAAATACCTAGAAATTTGTTTTATCTATTTAAAAGTTATTTTAGTAATAGAAAAATTGTTTTTAAGGATAAGAGTAATGAATATTTATAAGGGATGGCCTCAGGGCTCCCCTGCTCTAGAACATTATTGTGGATAACTTGCTGAAGCAGAAGTTTTCTCAAAATGTGAAATTAATTGCATATGCTGATGATATTATGATTCTTATAAAACACGATTCCCTTGAAAAAAATAGAAAAATTATTTAATCAAACTGCTCTAATACTGAGTGATTGGTAAAACAAAGAAAAATTACAATTTAATATTGAAAAAACATGTGCGTTGTTTTTCCCCAGAGGAGATAAAAAGACTAGACCACCAAATTTGAAATATCAAGGTAAAAGAATCATTTATAGATAATATGAAATATTTTGGCATTATGATTGATAACAAATTAAATTTTATAGAGCATTTTAAGTTGGTACAAAGACAAACTGATCTGATGTTCTTAAATTAAAGAAGAACTTTTTCAGCTGAGATTTTAGCCTTGAAATCCTCCATTCTGAGAAAAATTTACTTAAATATAGTGCTTCCAATCATCATATATGGAATTGGAGCCTGGGGATTCAGGGCAGGGGAACTGGTTAGATTACGGATGAAGTTTACCCAGTATTCAGAGAGCTTGGGGTTTAGCTTTAACCCGATGTTTTAGAACGGTGCCTACCGAGGCCATCTTTGTGTTGATTAAGCCTCTCTCAATTTTATACGAATTTTATTATAAGAAATTTTTATTTAGAACTGGACGAATGGAATTGAAAATGTATGAAGATTGTTTGGTTACAAAGAATGTTTTTGAAATATTTAATATTCATTTAATACATCCTTCCAATAGATTTGGTTTTGTAAAAACAAAAGTAATCTAACTGTTGATGTATTTGATATTTATACAGATGCTTCTGGGGTCGCAGGGAGCGTAGAAGCTGCCTTTGTTGTTTTTACTATGGAACTGAGGTGGATTGTAGAATGTTTAAATTGAACATACGTATATAATTCAGTTTTCCAAGCATTCAAACAAACCTTATTATAGATTAAAAATACCTTGTTTATACCCACGTCTGTAAATATTTACACTGACTGCCTGTCACTTCTTCATGCGCTCCCCCGCCCAGACAATTTCAATCCATTAATTGTCGAAATTAAGAGTCATTTAGAAACTTTGAGTTCATATTTAAATATTAAGCTACATTGGGTTAAAGTCCATATAGAGTTTATTGGTAATGAGAGGGCCGCCAGCCTGGCCAAGCAGGCGGTCTCAAATGTGAATGCAATGGATATTGAAGTAACAGGTTCGAAGAGAATTGCTGTTCGAAGAATGAAAGAGTTTTACGTTAACAAATGGAAAATACAGTGGTTCTCTTCACCTAAAAATAAAGGATTTATGGAACTAATAAAAATCGCGAATAAAATTAAATGTATGAACAATATTGACGTTAATCAGGTTTTAACTGGACATGGTAGGTTTCCGTTCTATTTCAACCGATTTAATTCTGCAGAAAAATAAACTATGTAATAGTTGTCAGGTTGATGGTGATGCTAGGCATTTTGTGGTGGATTGAAGTCTAACAGCCCTTATTAGACGGATTTTTAACACTTCTGATTTTAATGTAAGTGTTATTAATTTTAACGTTTTTAAATCATATACTATTGCTCTAATGAAGTTTATCAATGAAAATAGGACGCTTGTAGGAATCTTCTGTTAAAATTGAATTCTGTATTTATATGGGTTTTAGATACTTTGTTGTGAATTTGTGTTTATGTTTGTTTGTTTGTAATTTTGTGTTAGATGTGCTTACTTATTTTTAATTTAGTATTTTTGTTTATTGTTTGGGAGTGGCTGGGTTACTGGCTGCCCTCGTTTGTGAAAAGACGGGGCCCCTTCTTTTGAGCTATGGGGACACTCGTGTCCAGTTGGTCTGAAGGGAGCCTCCAATTCTTACGCGTATTATCCTCCTAGCATCGAATAAAAAGTGTGATTTTGCATGATGCATAAAGTACATGTATACAGTCCAACCAACTTTTTTTTTTTTTTTTTTTTTGTATTGGTGCGAATTCTATAATCTGCTTGTGACCCTCTAATTAAAAAATTAAATTAATATTTATTGATGTAATTATATATAGCCAATCTTCCCCTTCTTAAAACTTTCTGAGGACAATTTTTTCATGTCCAAAACAGTTTATAAAAAATATCCTGTTACATGAAAATTATACAAATCTATATACGAGATGAAAGTTGGTATTTGAAAGAATTAAGGAATTGAAAGAATAAAAGAAAATTATACAGCGGGGAACAACAAAATATTCAAGCTATTGAAAGTAAGACTGCATTACTTTGCAGCATGTCTACTCTGTAGATTATGTGGAGGGCTGGGATTCTTGTATCCGTTCCAACTGTATACATTTTTCATCAGATGATATTTTCCTTGGAAACCCACTGTTGCATTTAGACGTTCATAAAAATCAGTACGCGAATATTTCGCATTCACGTTTAAGTTTAAAAGTTCCTTTACTGTTGACAACTATAATCGAATTTTTTTTACAAACTAGATGTTGGTCAGAGTTTATCTTAAAAAGTCCTTTCTACTGGAGCTGATGCATTTCTACGTTTTGGCAATTAGCTACAAACGAAAAGATCCAAACTAATTTAAACCTATGAAGGAGATAGTTTTTGTAGTTGAATTCTGCACAAGGCCTCCTAGAACAAGCTGTCTACAATATTTCTGTTTAAGTGAGAGAAATGATTACATGAAAGATGTTTTTAAATTTTGCACGTAAAGTTTTAACTAAATAAACAGCTTCAATCCTTTTTTAGTGTAAAATGTTAATACGCATCAAAAATATTCTAAAAAAAACTTGAAACTTCTCCTTTCGCCATCTGACCCTGAACTAACACTGACGCTATGCCAGCCTTGTACTAATTTAATGACTCGACTTTTTGTAGAGTCCGCGATGATAATCGAAACACTTTAACGACAGGTGGAATTTTTTTTTTTTGAAAACCTAAGATTCGAAGAATATCGCCAAGTTACACATGGAAACAAAAAAAACGACCGCCACGTTCATTCGCCAAACAGTACATTCTAAACAGGTAGGTACAAAGGCAACCATGCGTGTTTACTTCAGTGGCAAGTAGAAAAAACTTCTTTCTCTCAGAGTCAGGCTGCCCAATGCCTACATGAGGCGGATTTGAATTGTGTGGTGAACAATTAGTCTGACCTCCCAGCTGGAACGCAGAAATTCTTCTTAAAGTGTAAAAAGTGTTTATTTGCAGGTAAATTATTATTCTCTATTAATATCACTAATTCCAGGAATAAGGTTTGTAATAGCATACCGCTGAAATCTTAATTTAAAGCTCTAAATCAAAACCTGTTTGCTGTCCCACTATGCGACGGACATCTTGACCTATAGCGGACGTTTTTTTCCCCGTATATGCATTCTAAATGTATATTTTTGGAATCTCAAAACCTTTAAAACGCCTAGTGACTATGCGAATATTATTTGAATTTTCCCGCGCAGTGCCCGATTATATTTTTTAATTGAAGAGAATATTATTACGGTCAACATTATAAGTTTATTACATGTTGTTTATTACTGCTTAATTAGTTACAGTTTAAAAACTTAAATTTTGTTTACTATTCTAATTCAGAGGGGGGCGTGGAACAAGAAGAGGAAGTTATATACAACAGTAAAGGAGAAGGGGCACATACATACGCTTATTTACTCAATTTTTCGTGATATCAAAGAATGTAGAGGTAATAAGGATTTTGATTGAGCCAAAAATATGCAAGGATAAATTATGGCGGACTTTTTTTATTGTGATATTAATTAAGCCGGAGATAAAAACTGTAAAAGAGAAGTTAACACAGAAACCAGTTAAACGAAACTAATAATTTTACTTACATAATTTTCGTTGGCGTTATATTTAGAGAACTTTTATTTAATTTTAAAGTATGATTAGAAGAAACCTGAAATATATAACATTTATATTTTAATATTCAAGAAGAGAATTCATAAGCCGTACTTAATACACTATTCATAGGATCAAATTCTAACTAGCTCAAGAAGTTTTTTGAAAATCAATCTGACCACAATTTAATTTCAGTTACGGCCAGTTACAATATATTGCAGTCCAGAAAATTATTTTTTCATTCACAAGATAATTAAAAAATAACATTTTAAAAATAATTATAATAGCTATATACTTTGCATGTGTGGTTAATCCAATAATTTTTTACTCCTTTTTTTATTAAGTTTTTAATGAACAAATTTTAAAATGAGTTCATTTAAGTCTTTATAACATAATGTTATTCCATACAAATTTTCAGCAGTGTAACATAAAAATACCAGACAATTTTCTCTAGATAATCCCTCTTGAATCAGACAGATTTTGAGTGTTTTGCGGTAAGTAATTAAAAAGTCAAAGTATATAGAAGACAGCAAGATTCATTATTTTAGACTCCCCCCCAAACCACACGAAATAAGTAAAAGTAATATAATAATTAAATAATATATGTATTAAGTAAATCATATAATCTATATATTATTATTAATTTTCAATATTTATTTAACTATGTATGGTTAAATTATTTGCTTAAAATGAAGCAGATTTATGTAACAAAATCATTCCACTGATTTGTTTGTAATAATGTTCACAAATTAAATTATATATTAACTTTCTGGTTTTTCATGATGGATAATATTTTTTTAAATATTTCCATGTAGCAACAATGATATATTAGAAGTTTTCTTTTTAAAAAGTATACAGTAATATATAATTCATACTAATAGTATAACATTAAATAAGCAAACTGGATATTTATTTTTCAGCTATTATCAAAATGTCTCAACGAGCGACTTCTAACTCCCAACCAGTATATGTAGTTGGTGTAGGAATGACAAAATTTCTGAAGCCTGGAACAAATAAAATAGATTATCCAGGGCTAGTGAAAGAAGCTGTCATTGCAGCTCTTAGTGATGCCAGAATACCTTATGAAAAAGTAGAACAAGCCTGTGTAGGTTATGTTTATGGTGATTCCACATGTGGTCAGAGATCACTTTATGAAGTAGGAATGACAGGCATTCCTATTTATAATGTGAATAACAACTGCTCTACAGGATCAACGGCTCTCATGCTTGCCAACCAACTCATCAGAGGAGGTATGAGTGATTGTATTCTAGCTCTTGGATTTGAAAAAATGGAGAAAGGATCACTGACGTCAAAATTCCGTGATCGAGCCAATCCACTGGATAAACATATGAAAGTAAGTAACAAATGAATAATTTGATTTTATCCAGATGTGCATAAATTACACACTTGTTCTACTGAATGTTTTTTATAACATTTATATTAAAATGATGTTTTGCACTTTATAAAATACTTACTAACCTAATTACCTGAAACATTAAACTGGCTGGAAAAAAAAAAAAAAAAAAAAAACAATTTAGTCATCACGTTAATTCCAGTTCTGTCTAGATAGACAATAGCAAAGGGACTGCATACTCTAAGTTAAGCAATCAACTTTATCATTAGTAAAGAAGATTGTCATTATTGATTCTTTTTATTATGAATACTTAAGTAACTTTTCTTCACTGAAAAAAAACTAGCCTTGAAATTCAGCAATGTAATTTATCTGGAATATACTACAAACATAAATTCTGTTCCTAATTTCTCTAGTATACCTTAACAAACTTCTGCACTGTGCTATGTATTAATACAAAGCCTTTTCATATATATCATACATATTTTTAGTAATGTAGATAGAGTTTTGATCTGAGCTGCCACAACAGAGATCAGATTATTTTTACTTTGCTCTGAATAGAATAAAAAGGGAATCACATTTTAAGTTTTAATCTAGAGGAATACACTTAGTAACCATATAGTATATGTCATTACATATAATATCACTTTTATATATTTACTATAAAGCACATTATATTTAAAAGCAGTGTTTCAAATTTTCTCCAATGTAGATTCTATGCATATTTCAACACAATTGAGTACATCATGCCATACTTGGGATTTCCAATATGACTGATATATGTACTAATTATCATAAAAAACATATAGGAAGCTACACTAAGTCAAACATGGTTAATTATGAATTGTGGGGAGAATTTTTAGTGCTTTCTTATAGCAGCCCCCCTTCCCCTGGAGATTGAATCACTAATCAACCAAGATATCTCACCATGTATTCTTATATTAGTACTGTGTTTCATTTTCGATAAGTTTTCAAAAAAATATTCCTTACTTTTGTGAATATGTGGTTAACAATCTTTAACTTACCAAATAAAGAGGTAGATGCCATATAATTTTTTTAAGAAAGAGGTCTTTTATCCAGCACGAGTATACGAAAATGTCCAAAACATGAAACTATATGTTAATAACGAAACCATTTGCAGACGTAATGTTAAAAATTGTAAAAAGAAGGACCTCCGTGTTTGAAATAGGGTTCAGTGGTTCCAAAATATAATTTATCACTGCTATTAGATTTCCATATTCATGGTCAAAGGATTTGATGTTCAATAGTTGGTGTGACAAACAGCTTAATATGTATAAAAATATTCCAATTTATCTGAAGCAAAGATTCAATGGGTGAATAAAACAATCCCATTTAACTATTTGAAATTGACGAAACTCAATTTGTATGACATAAGAATAACAGTGGCAGAGTGCTCCCACAATAGTAGATTTTTGGAGGAATATGTCAGGAAGATAATAGTGAGTGCTTTGTCGTTTAGATCTCAGATATGGATGCTGGTACACTTATGAAGAAAATTATTCAATATGTGTAAGATGGATCACATTGCTGAATGGGATATTAAACAGAGCAACTTGAAGAAGCTAGTTAGTCACTTTACTGTTAACCATAGGTACAATTTCATAGACCCAACAACAAGTGTTCACACCCAAAATGTACAAAAAATGTGGTGTTTAGCCAAGTGGCAGAGTAAAAAAACAAGGAACCACAACTCAGCATCACCTAGTGTCATATCTTTTGGAATTTATGTAGAGAAAGTACATAAGAAAAAATGATAGCTTTTATGAATTATTGAAAGCAATCTTGGAAATATGGCCTTGCCATATTGATTATTAAGTATATTCTTAGGAAACAACATGCATCAATTTCTCCATTCATGGTTCACAAGCATGGCAAAATTACAGCTGTGTTCTTGGCATAATTCTAAGGTTGCCAAATAAGGTCAGGAGATGCTATAATAAGCAAGTACCTTTAGCAAATTCTGAAAAATATCCAGTGCATTTTATTTAATCATGCTGATGTAGATACAATTGCAAGATCAACAGCTGTGCTGGGAGAGACCTATTTGGCTCTAGTGAATTCATCCGGGAAAATGAAGCTCAGAGTAAATGTGGAAAAAACTAAATATACATATTGTGGTAAAAATAAAAATCCACCTAAAATATTTGATATTGGCCCATTTAAATTTGAATCTGTGAAAAATTTCACATACACTGGTTATCATAAATTAAGGAAAAATCACGATTACTGAAAAAGTTACATGTAGAATTTAATAAAACTTACCCACAATATACAGCACATAGTAAGGTATCAAATAACATAAAAAGAAATTACCAGACAAATATGGTAGTATAGAAATTAGCACATGTATAAAATGAACAAATCGAAGGTGTCAGTTTGCTATAGAATAAGTTCCTTCAATATGGAATATGATTGCCTCTAGAAGCAATACAGCACATACAGAGGAGATGTGTGATGCTTTCAATTATGCGGTCTATCAGTTCCGTAGGAAGCAAGAGCCATTGCTCTTGCAAAGCAGTTGCAAGCGCGACAAGGGTCTGAGGGGGCGGATTGAGAGCAGCTAGACATCTCCCTTAAGCATCCCAAACATGCTCGATAGCTCCATGCGCATAATTGTTTCCTGTTGAAGATAATCATCTACGATGCAAGCCCTGTGTGATCTTGCGTTGTTGTCCTGTAACAGGAAAGCATCACCTATTGCCCCGGCATATGGGCACAAATAAATATCAAGGATGTCATCTCTATAAATCTGAGCATTCACAGTTCCCCTTGGAAAGACATGGAGGTCTGTGCATCCACCCAAAGAGATGCCACCCCAAACACAGACACTGCGCCTTCTGTATGCATCTCTTTCACTGATGATAACGGGTTCTAGGTTCTCTCCATATCAAATAACGCCTACTATTGCTTTCTAGACTAAACCTGGACTCATCCGTAAAGAGAACCGCCCTCCAGTGGACATGTTGTCGTGCCCACTGAAAACTGTCCCTCCTATGGCGTGACGTGAGCAGCACAGAAATGGCTGGTCGCCTTGCATACAGACTGCCTTCGTGAAGCCTTCTATGCACAGTTGACGTTGACACGAACCTTCCGATGGCTGCAGCAAGGGAGTATCTAAGAAGAGTCGGAGTAGCGGTTCTATTTCTGCGTGCACATAATGTCAAATATCGGTCATCGGTGCTCATTGTAGCAGTTGGCCGTCCTTGGCTGAACCTCCTAGATTTAGCCTTCTGAGCACTTCTGTTTGACTTTGTCCTGCCTCTAGCCTCCCAATGGCTCTCCATCGCAGTTCTGTAGGCAAATGATGCCTGGAGGTCATTGTTACGAATTGACTATCTCAGATTTCTGATGTCACTGTCACAGTGAAATATGTGGGCTTGCTCTCAAACATGGACTTTTATGCTACTCGCAGATGACTTATTCCGAAGGCAGCGCCACTAATTTGCATATTGCAGTTTTATTCAGCTACTCTTACTTGGCAACATATTCAAATTTTACACGGTTTGGCTTATTTTTTAGGGAGTTATCGCTATTTTTGTGAGTTTTCCTTAGTTTATGATAACCAGTGTATTTGGATTCCAAAATTAACTATCAAAATGTTATTTATCCTGAAATCGGAAAAAGGGTTACTCCTGCGAATCGTTGCTTCTTTGGCCTAAAACCTCTTCCGAAATCCCATCTAATAAAGAGAAGGATAAAAATTATATTACACAAGTTAATAATAAAATGAGTTTAACCTATGCTTCAGAAGCGTGGACTCTTGATTATGAGGGAAAAAATAGCCTTGGTGATCTTTGAACAGAAGATTCTAAGAACTATTTTTGGTGCTATCTCAGAAAATAATATATGGCATAAACTGTATAATTTTGTACTCTACAAAATTTATAAAGATGAGGATATTATTAAATCCATAAAATTAAATAGATGAATTGGGCAGGTCACCTCCTGAGAATAAATGCAGATAGAACAGTCCTTAATGCAACTCTTGTTTGTGAAAGATCAAGATGAAGACCAAAGAAAAGGTGGAGGGATTTTGCCATTCTAAAAATTAAGAACTAGAGGTCAGTTGTTGAAGGAAAGGTGGAATGAGAGAGGCTTCTGAAGAAGGCCATTCAAAAAGGGGCTGTTGTGCCAATGCTGCTGATGATACATCAATGTTTCAAATTTCCCCCAACATAGACTTCCATGTGCATTTCAAGATAACTGAGTGATCAGTTCATTAGAAAATTAACTTTTTCTTCCCATGTGCTCTTATACTGCAACAGATCAATATTGGTTGACCACATCAAGCCAAACCTGGGATTTTCAGTATCACAGATGAATGTGTTAATTGTTATAATATAAAGAGGACATAGGAAGCCATATCAATGTCAAACTTTTGTAATTATGAATTGTGGGCAGAATTTTTTTTTTTCAACTTCTCTTCATTCTGCAAGTTCTTCCTGGTCTCTGTATCTAGTACATGAACTAAAATTGGTATATGATAATTTACTACTAATTTGGAATGGCCAACTAGGGGTTATCACTTATGCTTCCCCCCTCCCCATGTTTGAAGGAGAGGGTAATATAATTTGTGCTGTTCCCAATCAGCTTCTCCTCTGCAGCCACCAGCTAGCCTCCAGTGCAACTTAACTCAATGTTCCTGCCTCCTATTCTCATTCAGCCTTGGAACTTCACTGCTATCACTAGCATGACACTTTGTTCTGCAAATATATCGACTCACGGACTCTTCTTCAACATTCACATCTATTGCTATCAAATGTTTGGACTTTCGTTTTCACTACAAACATTCTGAATGCCACTCAACTTTAGAACTACCTGCCATATTCAATAATTGCTTTCAAATTATGCCTATAAATAGCTTTTTCACAAATTATGCTATCTAATATTAAAAAAAAAAAGATTTACTTCACTACTCTGGGATAGGGCCTGCCCAAAGGCCCAAGGAAATTGAAACTAGTTCACTGAAGAAAAAGGAAGAGAGGATAATGTAAGAAATTAAGGAATTATTGCTATGTGTTCTTATGGTACAACAATTCACATATCAAGCCCGTTATTCAAATATTTCCTACTCAATTCTAGGTGATCACTAAATGAATTTCTCAAAACATCTCGCATCTAAATTTTGTTTCCTCAAAAAGTTACAAAAAAAAAAAAAAAAAAAAAAAAAAAAAAAAAAAAAAATCATCAGAAATCAAAATCTACTATTAAATACTTTACAAATGCATTAATCTAGCATGCAAGATTTTGTACATTTAACAAAAAAATTCGAATGAATGTTAATATTAAAACATAAACTATTCAATATATTTTAAAGCATACACACAACAAAATTAAATCTATTATTAATTCACATTTTACAATTAATAATTTATTTATATGTTATCTGACATAATAAAACAACTTCAACTAGATCAAACACATTCTATTTTCAGAGAAATGTCAATAACATTAAATTTCCAGCACAAATTTTTATAATTAAAAAAGCAGAATTTAACTTATTGGTATTGTATCACAGTTAGATACACTGTAATAGTTTTAGATAGTCTGAGGTTTGGCAGATACTAATGACTACTGTAGTCTCATTCCATTCAGTTTCTTTACAATATTATGGTACTACTAATTTTCAATCCAAACAACATTTAATGTTTAAAATGAATAGTATATGAAAAATATTTCATAAAAATATTAGCCTCCAGAAACTTAATATTTATTCTGGAATAATTATATATATTACCAGTACTAAAAATTAACAAACATCACAGTTTTAAAAGTTTCGTAAAAAATATAGACGAATTTATAGTTAAAACTAGTTTCAAATTAAATATTCCAAATTCCACCTTTATGGCTTGGAAACATGCAATATTAGAAGAATTCAAGCAAAGAATTCGAAGAATTGAATTTAATAGCAATTTACAGTGGAATATTCTCATTTCTCATTTACAGGATTTAAAACAAAAGTTCATAATTACCAAAATTGACAAAGCCAACAATAATTTTAGCATAATATGAAAATTTTTTTATGTCTCATTAATGAATACTGAACTAAATAATGCCATTACTTACAAACACCAATCTACAAGAAAATGCTATTGCAAAAAAGCTAAAAGCATTTCATAAGAAACTGCAAATTTCACAACCATCTAGCTACAATAGATTAGCAAATCTATATGCTCTCCCAAAATTTCATAAATCACCACTCAAATTTAGATTTATTGCTAATGGTACAAATAATTATAAAAAGAATATAGATTACATATTTGCAATTATACTTAAAAAAATCTGTAATCCAACAACTCGTTAACAAACAACACAATTATAGTTGGATTATTTATAATAATGCTCCAGTTCTCAGCAGTTTTAAAATTTTAACAATCAAGAATATTAACTGCTATGACTTTGAAAACCTTTATACTTCTCTACCATTAGAAGAAATTTTTACTAGTTTAATGCAACTCCCACAACTTTTTCCTGACATACTTGACATCCTTTGTATGGAAAGATGGAATACTTATCTGAATTGTGCATTATTTAATAACTACATTAAATTCAATAATAAGATCTTTCAGCAAGTTAGAGGAATTCCTATGGGAGCAAACAGTTCTACACAAATTTGTAACCTATTTCTTTTTACTTTTGAATATAAATTCCAACTAAGTTTAAATAAAAATGAATTAAAGCTATTTGCTCATACTTTTAGATACATAGATGATATTATAATAATTCTACTTTTGAGCAATTCAAAATTTACCCAAATAGTTTAACACTTAATAAAACGAATACGAATCAAGATACTATTGAATACCTAGACCTGCAAATTATTAAACACAGCAAAATTAAATTATTTGATAAAAGAAGGGATTTCCATTTTCATACTATTAAACTAATTAATTGGAACTCTAATATCTCTAGAAAAGTAATAGAAAACACGTTTCATAGCCAAATAATCAGAATAAAAAATATATGTACTGGAATAGACGATTTAAAGGAAGAAATAATAAAGCTAATTAATGTTCAAGTTGATAACCAAGTACCACCAAAATTTATTAATTTATATATTAAAAAGGCAGGCATTGACTTTATAATTTTTTGGCTCTTTTTGATATGATAACATTACCTTAAACCTTAGCTAGAGGGTAATGAAGGATATAGAAGAGTAAAGAAATTATCTTGTAAATTTTTATTGTAAATAAATTTGTAAATATGTATATTTAATCAATACTAGATTCTTTCCTTTTACTAATAAAGGGCCAACTCTTTTCAAAAGTCTCAATTATAGCCTGAATTGAGTGAAGATTTTAATCATCTTCTAATTTTCCATACTTCAGCCAGTATTTAGTTAAGTTTTGATATACCAACTGAAATCAGTTCATTAAACTTTTAATTTTTTCTTTCATTAAATATTAACTTAACATAAATTAAATATTTCATTAAATATTAATTCATAATTAAATTAAAAATTAACTTCCTTAAGAAATTTCTGGGAATTTTATAAAGGTTTTTTAAGGACTTCGTTAAAAAAAAAAAAAAGAAAATTTTTAGACATTTTTAATTTTACTTTAAAATTTAAATTTTAAAACATTTCAGTTTTACTTAATTACTTTAATTATTTGCAATTTTCACACAAAAAATTTTTCACTTAACGTTATTTACACAATTTTTCAACACACATTTCACATTACAAACAGTTTACATTTTTTAATTCACAATACCACTTAACTTTATTTTACTTCAAACACTTACATCGCTTGATTGGCTCAGCTACTTTACTCCCTAAATAATTGATAATTACATACCTTAAGGATTTTTAATTTAATTTTTTCTAGATTTATTTTTATATTTTTTGATATTAATGTTTGCAAAAAAATGTTTAATATAACAAAGATAGCAGCTTGACACTCAACTTTACCTACATAAGCACCATATATATAATTAATTTGAAGAATACACTTACTTCTCTTTAAAAACACTTTTGCAGACCCCAACACTCCTATAGTAGGTAAGTTAGAATTAAAACTTACTATTTACTTGCTTTAAGTATTTTTTAAAATTTTTTATGTAGTATTTAAGTATTTTCTAATATATGAAATTATATTTTTAAGTATATTTTGTTTTTTAAAAATTGTAAATTAGTTCTTTTTGTTTCTTATTGGTTTATATGGATTATGTCTAGTTCTTTTTATTGATATGCATATTCGTGTCGGGGAGGTTTCTGTAGACAAGGGTTTCTAGATTATTTTTTATTTTTTATAAAAAATTTTCTTTAAATTTAATTTTTTTAAAAAAGTTTAATTTAATACTTGACTTTACTTGCTTGTTTCTCAAAAGACTTCATTAGTATTTTTCTTTTAGAACTCTAATTCTTAAATGCTAATTTCTAAGGGTAACACTTTATTGGTATTTCTTTTTGGACATTTTTCACTTTTTACTTTTGGTTTTGACTTTTACCCTTGCCTACATGAATGACGAAACACGAATTGAATGATTGAAGAGTTAGGTTTGGAGGCAACTTCCCCTTGATAAGTCTGTCTCCTGCCTACTCAACAGTCATTCACTTATGCATTTTCAAAAAAATTGTTTGGATTAATTTTTTAGGATTAATTTTACATTGCTAAAGTGAATTTTATTTTTTCATAGATTGGTTTTGCACTTGATTTGCTTATGCTTCTGAATTTAAATGATATTGTAGATTAGTTCGAGAATTAAATCTTTTATATGTTTGCACATTTTTTAAACTTTTTTGGCTTTAAATTTGCTTTTTTACTTTTATACGTGTTTGTTAAAATTTAAATTTGTTTAAATTTATATATAATATATACATATAATTTAAAGAAAATTATTCTGTGATATTTCTACCTTGATTTTTATGTATTTTATTTTATTCATAGGTACTTTCAAATAACTGTCCTATAGTAGCAGCACCCATGTCTGCTCAAATGTTTGGTGCTGCTGGACAAGAGCATATGACCAAATATGGGACAACTAAAGAACATTTTGCCAAAATTGCTCAGAAAAACCATAGACATTCAGTTCATAACCAAAATTCCCAATCAAATCATGAATATACACTCCAAGAAATATTGGATTCTCCTGTAGTATATGGTCCATTGACTCGTCTACAATGCTGTCCAACTTCAAATGGAGCAGCTGCAGCCATAATTGCTTCAAAGCGATTTGTGGAAGCAAATAATCTACAGAGCCAAGCAATTGAGATTATAGGTATGGAAATGACAACTGATCCATCAACAAGTCTGTCAGAAAACAGCTGTATAAAAATGGTAGGCTTTGATATGACAAGAAATGCTGCTCAAAAGCTGTATAAAAAGACTTCCATCACACCTCATAATATTGATGTGATAGAACTACATGACTGCTTCTCCACAAACGAACTCATTACCTATGAAGCACTAGGTCTTTGTGAAATAGGTAAAGGTTCTGAATTAGTGGATGCAAATGACAACACATATGGAGGAAAATATGTAATCAATCCGAGTGGTGGATTGATCTCAAAAGGTCATCCATTAGGTGCAACGGGGTTAGCTCAATGTGCTGAGCTTTGCTGGCAGCTAAGAGGTTCCGCTGGACTAAGGCAAGTTCCTGGAGCAAAAATTGCACTTCAGCACAACATAGGTTTAGGTGGGGCTGTAGTTGTTGCACTTTATCAACATGGTTATCCAGAACTTTCTGGAAATTATAAATCAAAATTATAAATAATCTCCCCAAACTGAGTTTTTAAATGAAAAGTTATGCCATACTTTAATTCAGATTTGGTACTTTTCCATTATGCACCTGCCTTGCTTTTTTGGGGCCTGTGAAAGAAGCTAAATAAAACACACATATTCTTCATCATAAAAAATGCTATTGCAATAATGTAATAATGCTATAAAATAAATATGTTGTCATTTATAAATTATTCTTATAACTAGAAATTGTCTGCAACTAAAAAAAAAAAAAAAAAAAAAAAAAAAAAAAAAAAAACCTGCCAAGAAAGTGTGGCAAGATGTATAATGAAAAAAGTATCTTAGATTTTCATAGCTATTTTAAAAAATAAGTACAAAATAGATATTCCTTTTTTTAACACTGAACAAGTATTTTATATATATATTGATAACCAATTCCTCCCCATCAAATCTTAATAGGAATAAAAAATCCTTTGCATGTTTTATCTTATAACAAACAGGTTCTACCAACGGCTGAGTATTTAATAACTGCTGAATATTGGGAATTCAATTCAAGGTGAGCACGCTGGCTGCATGGTTTTTTCCACATGTAACATGAATCTGAACCAGTTTCCTTTAAAAAGTTCTCCATGTAAGCATCACTTTCCTTATGCAGATAGCACTTACATGCTTTACCATATTCGAATAATTTAATCAGCAGGAAAGATAATTTTATTTTAACACATAAAATCTTTAATCTGCAATAGTGACAGATTTATAAAATGGAAGGAGGCCCTTTGCTGTAGGATGTAGAGTATGTATACTTTTTCTTATCCTATACCACTGACTTTTTTTTTTTTTTTAAATCTGGAAAGTAGTTTGAGGTCTCCTTATGATTGCTTGTGTGATTCCTTAAATCTGCTCTTGTCTTGCAAATTGTTAAATATATCTTGCACTGCAAATAGGGAATAAATAAAAAGGCATTCAAATTTGGCTAAACATAAAAATACATTCTACCATTACCTACAACACGCTTTTACATAGTGTGACAGTAAAGCTCACACTACATATTGTGAAAGAATGTATAAGTATTACAGCTGGGATGAAAAGGCATAAAAGAACGGAAATTCAACTGCTGAAATTTAACAATTTTATAATGAAAAATCATGCTTATATCAATTTTAAAATGGTTGGTTTATTTAATTATTCTTAAGCACTTGAGGGCTATCTGCCTAAGGGAAACTAGCTCGCATATATGTTATACACGGGGAAAACCATGAAAATGCTCATACAGTCAGCCTGTTTGTTGGGATTCGAACCCCAGTTTGAACTAACAGTATTCAGTAACTTTGTGGTGGGCCTAAAATTTTTAAAATGACTTAATCTGTAAAATATTAATTTTATTACCAATTATGAAAAATAGATTTGCTTTATATATATATTGAATATAATTTGATTACAGAAACAGTGTTTTTATACCTGGATACAAAAACACCACAAAAAATATAGATTAAAGTTTAACAATAAGTTTGGAGTAAAATAAAGAGTTCAAATTTTTTTTTTAAATTAAAAGGGACATATTTCAGATAGCTATTTTTTTAAAATCTGTGACAATAGGTAGATATTGCTTCCCTCCCTAAAGACCTCAATGAGAGGGATTATTGTTTCCACTACAAAAATTTTGTGTCTTGGCAAAATAAAAACTGGTGTCACTTTATTTGCAAAAAGTATTTCTTTCAATCCTTATGCACAAACAATCCAAGGAACCCATGGAAAAAAATTCTACAAATTCTACTTTGAATATAAAACTAATACCAATTAAATAAATACCATATTTCCTTGCATATTTTCCTCCCTAGCTTTTTAATGCTAGGTTCTGAAATTTTTAAAAATATTCATGTAATTTTCTCTTTCTTCAATGTGTTTGGAGAATGAGCTTCTCTAAACTTTAAAATGAATTCGTCCATGTAATGATTTTTTTCATCACACCAATGAAGTCAAACCCTTGCAAACTATTTGTGAAGGTCATACTGAACTTATCCATTCTAAACATTGAACTTTATACCAGCTTGATACAAGAACCAACCCATCACAGCGAAGTAACCATGAACTCACATTCAGTCTACAGTTTCTCTGAGTCAGTTGCACAGTCAGCCTGATTATTTATGGATGATTTCACACCTAATGAATAGCAGAAATGAAGTTTTATTGTTATGCTAATACTGCTATGTATTCTTATTGGAATACAGGTTTCTTTTAAAAAATAATATTGTGATAATTACCTGTAATTTACACACAAGAGTACTTTTCATTTATGTTTTTACTGTAACCACATCCTTTGGAAATTGAATTATTCACATAATTTTTCCCTCTTAATTTTCAGACCATAAAATTAGAAAAAAAGGAAGGAAATTACAGCAAGCATACAAAGTTCAAAGGATATGTGAATGTCATATATGTTATAATTGCCTTTTCAGTAGCTATTAATTTTATGAAACTGCAGCCCCATCAGTAGGAGAATGTAAATGCTGTGAAAGTTTATGGTTTTTTACTCCCAGTGAAGGAACAAACTAGTTATATATATCACATAAATAATTACCAGCCAGTTTCTTTCTATGAAAGCATCCTTTGGCAGACAGCTCTGGTAAGTTCTACCATAATAATTCAATTTTATAACTCTCCAGGCAGGCAGTCCTCATGTGCTTTGTCATATTTATATAACCTAACTTTAAAATTCTCTCTTGAAAGTTATTTGTTTAAAAGGGTAAAATATTTTCCTCATCATTAAGCAAAAAATTGCATCTGAAATATAAGATGACAGATCCAAGTTGAGTAAAGAAACACAATATATTTTGGATCGTTTAAAATCAAATTCCCTGAAATCGAAGAGATAAAAATTTATAAATATTTCGAAGTTGAAAATATTTAGATAATTATAAATATAATTAGTATAATGAGTTATAAACACAATCGGAATTCTAACAGAAAGATTAAGTATGTGAAATAACCTGAGAAGGAAATGCAACTGTGTGAGATATGCTAGAGAGATCAGATCAACAGAACTGAAAATAATTTAAAAGAAATATGAAATTTTGCACATAGGTGTATTTTGTGTACACTGCACAAAGGAAGAAAAAAGAGACAGTTCTATATTTCCCGTTCTACTTGGTTGATGGACGAAATTCAAATTGCATTTTTCATATCTCAAAAGCGCAACTTAAGATATATATTAGATTTATATATTCCTTACTCTGAAATGACATGCCTGGAGGATAATAACACCATAATTCAATCAATTTTAAAGAAAAAAATGTACAATTTACAAACATATAAGAGTAAAGAAACTGAGATCACTGAGCAGGGTAACAGAGTGGATATATATATAAATATATTTATATACGTTTGGTGCGGCCAGTTGCAACCAAAATACGAGGTGCACATCTACATGTTATAGCAGTCCTATATACAAAATTTCAACATTCTGAGGCTACTCGTTTTTGAGTTATGCGAGATACGTACGTATGTACGCATATATGTTCGTACAGACGCCACGAAAAATTCTCTTCAGAATTAATTTTAAAGCAGTTTTATAATTTTTTTTGAGGAAACGAGTCTTTTATTCTGTCCTTATGTACAGATATCATACAAAAACATCGTTATATTGCATTCGATAGCGGTCAAAATGGATATTTTCATTGAAATATGCTGCCTGAAACTGTTCGCGATTACAATACTTCCTTTTTACTTCGTACAAGGAAGTAAAAAGAGTATTAGTACAAGGAGTAATTGAGTATTAATATATTTAATAAATATATATCAATTTAATTAACATTGAGAAGCTAATTTTTTAAAAAACTACTTGCATGATTTTTACAAAACTTGGCAGTGTGGCCTAATTTGTGTCATAGAATCAAAATATGGAAAAAATTGGCATGTCATTTTAGAAAAAGTCCGAGTTTGTATCAAATACTTATATTAGAACAATGGTATATATAAATCTAATACCCAAGTCGCATTTTTAGAGACATCAAAAATGCAAGTTGAATTTCATCAATCGGCCCAGTAGAACTGAGATGCAGAACTGTCATATTTTTTTTTTTTTTTTTTTTGGTGCGATGTACATCTTGTGAATTTTATGAAATGATACATTTATGAAAAAGAATTACAACTAATATTTTTTTTCTTAGAAAACTGGAATATTTAATACATGGATGATGTAATGTTTCATTTGTAAAAAAAAAAAAAAAAAAAAAAAAAAAAAAAATCTTTATTTTTCTATTTGCACTAGCCTTCTCTAATTTACACAAACAGTTCAACCATGCAAAAAAATATTGATTAATTATAAATGCAGACAAATAGATGGATGTAGTCTAATATAACTAACTCCAAATCAGAAAGCTGAAATCTAGCTAATTACAAGGGTTGGAACTTTAATAGTGGCAACACAGCTGAAAAAATGCTACGCAACAAAACCAAAGAATATCGCGTATACCACATGTGAACTACATACCACTCAGCAAAAAGACTCGTCCTGCCTACGTCACGCGCATGCGGAGTGACACGAAGAACGGATCCTTGTATTAGCTCGCGGTCTAAAGTAAGTGTTGTCAGGATGTTTTCAAAACAAGAACAACGATGTTGGATAAAAATTGAATGTGCCAGAGGTCGTACAGCACGACAGTGTCATCAAGGGCTTCAAGAGGCTTGCGGGGAATCTGCATTGCCTTACAGAACCGTAGCAAGATGGGTGAAAGCATTCAATGAAGGACGCCAAAACGTGGCAGACATGCTGCGGCCAGGTCGTCCGAGTGTCAGCGATGCAGACGTGCAAGCTGTTGCCGCACTAATGGACAGTGATCGCCGCCAAACGATTCGTCAGCTGGCCGGACAAACAGGATTAGCGCATACGACTGTGCTGCACATTCTGAAGGAACGCCTGTCCATGAGAAAAATTGCTTCACGATGGGTTCCACATCAATTGACGGAAATGCAGAAATGGCTACGATACGATGCTGCCCGAACCCACCTGGAGCGCTATGAGCGCGAAGGAGATGCTTTTTTACGCCGTATCATTACGCTGGATGAGACTTGGGCCCGATCGTACCAGCCAGAACTGAAACGCCAATCAAACGAATGGCGTCATCACGACGTTCGAAATTTCGTCAGAACCCCAGCAATGTGAAAGTTATGGTGATTCTCGTGTACGACTGTGATGGTGTCATCCTAACGCATACCGTTCCCCCACAGCAGACCGTCACTCACTGCGCAGTATTACTGCTCATTTTTGGAGCACAATCTCCGACCAGCTTTGAGAAAAAAACGGCGACACTTTCTGCAGAACGCTCCTCTCATTTTGCATGACAATGCTCGGCCGCATGCAGCGCAAGCTGTGACTGATTTGTTCAAGCGATGGGGCTGGGAAGTGCTTTACCATCCACCATACTCCCCAGATCTAAGCCCTTGTGACTATGACTTAATTCCTAAGATGAAGGAACCACTTCGTGGCACTCGCTTCCAAACTGTTCCTGAGATTCTTGGGGCAGTAGGCCGGTCTATTCAAACTATCAACAAAACAGGCACTACTGCAGGTATTCTGCGACTTCCACATCGTTGGAAACGGGTTGTACACAATGCTGGCGACTATATTGAAGGACTGTAAAACATGGTGACATGAATCACTTTTGTATTCCTTGTAAATAAATAGCTGCCACTATTAAAGTTCCAACCCTCGTATTAGTCATCTTTGTAATCTTAAGCCTTAGTTTTCTAAGACTGCAATTCTATCAATTTAAAAAATGAAATATTTTAAATATAAGTATGGATTAAAAATTGTATAAATATTATTAACAATATACTACCTTTTTTGTAAAATAGATTTATTTACACATTTTGTTATAATACAATTTATTCAACTTTTAAACCTTTCCAGAACACCTTTGGGCTTAGCTTCTTTTTTCTTCTTTAAAGTTTTTCCCTTGATTGCTGATTTAATAAATTCCTAAAATAAGGGATTTTTTAAAAATTATCTTTTGGTTATTTTATAGACATTTTCCATGCTTTTTGAATAAATAAAATAAAACTTACTCTCTTGGCTGTTTCTTGTACTGCCTGCTTCCTTTTGAATGCTTTTGCCGCTTTATTTTTGCCTTTAGCTTTAGGTCGAGGTTCAAATTCTATTTTGGGAGGTTTCACATGCTGAGGAAAGAAAAATATTGTTTTACAAGCAAACTAATACATAGCATATATCAATTCTAAATGAATATATTATATACTTACAAGCAGAGATTTCATTTTCTCCAATTTTTCTTTTAATGTAGGAACATTGATTGATCCCAGATGACTTGGATTTAAAGTAATAAGTTCAGGTTGAATCTGGAGAGGGTGAAAAAATATTAAACTACTTCAGCATATACAGATAATTTTTAAATAGATTTAATTAAACATCAGTTATTTTTGCAAATATTGAAAAAAAATTTTAAGAGACATTTGATTTTCATTTAAATAAATATCAAAGGTAGTAAGTAAAACATATAATGGACTAAAAAAAGTACCTTTTCCAGCAAAGCTTTAACTTCCATTTCTTTCCTTTGGGATTTAGTCATAAAAGGATTACTTTCATAAGCATCAAAATTAGGCTGCCCAGATCCTTAATTAATAAAAGAAAACCCTTACATTAAGATTCTACAAATTATTATTTGTATATGAAAAATTATAAAGAAGAAATAAAAAATCTACAGTTGTTATTAAAAAAACTATCATGCACATGTTATTAAAACACATAAAATTTATAAGAATGTTGATCAATAATATCTGATAAAAATCTGGTGAAAACAAAGTTATTAGTTAGTAAGTAGTAAAAGTGAAAACAAAGTTTTGAATTATTTTATAAATTCCACTTCATTTCCTTTCTTACTTATTTTTACTTCTTTATACGAAGTAAAGGAAGTATTGTAATCATGAAAAATTCCATGCTTCATATTTCAATGAGACTATTCATTTTGACCACTATCGAATGCAATAATGGATTTGATGCACTAAGCTTCACAACAACAAAGTAACATCTTTTATTATTGCGAATTAAATTGTGCTTTTTTTGCTTTAAAAATGATTGAATTATGTTGTTCTTATCTTCCGGTTAAGGTTTTTAATGCCTTCAGTTAACCTGCATGTTTTAGTTGTAGAATTATCAACAATTTAACATTGTTTAAGTGCAGCCAGCCAATGTACAGAAATTAAGTCTTACATTAACAATGTAATATCATCTTTTATTATTGTGCGTAATCCATTTTGGAATTATCATTGAAGTTATTACATTATCCCATATATTGACTTGGAATACCGTCCACAACAAATTAAGTCTTTCTAAACCTTCAGTGTCTTTTTGCCGAGTAAGACCAAAAGTAAACTTTCAGTTTTGTGTACAGAAAAATCTGCCTTCTTGCTTGCTGGCTGAATTGTTTGTTTTTGTGTAGAAACTAATTTCAATTGTAAAATTTTTTAAAAATTGTTTTAACTGCATTTGGTGTTTCATGTTTTCCAGTATCGTTCAATTTTTAATATAGATATTTTGAGTTTTTATGTATTTTTGCCTTCTCATGAAGTGAGAACTGAATTAACTGAATGAGAAATATATCTCTAATGAAATTCAAGGAAATAAATTCAAATTAAAAATGCAAGAAAAAGTGAGTATAATTTAACATTCTGTACTAGGAATTCATGTGGTGTACACATCAAATTTTTTTCTTTCATTTGTACTTTTTTTAGGCTTTATAGTAAAATAAATTAAAAAGTAAAAAATAATTCTGTTCTAATGCAACATTCTAAGTCATATGTGAGTGAAAATAAAATCAGTGGGTGGTTAACAATGACAGATTATTTAAGAATCAAAATTATTGAAGACAAATCTAACTGAACTGAACGCAATCATTCTTATATCTGTCATATCTACTTCTCAGTTATTCCTTAAATTCTGCTGATGTCCCAATATACTTCTTATAAGAATGCAACACAATTTACTTAGCCATATGACTAGTCACATATATTTATATTGTACATCATAGAGAATATATGATAAGAAATTTTTTTATAATATTTGATGTGAAATTGTAGCACAGAATTGATCAATTTTTGAAAATCATTCAAAAACTGGCAAACAGTGTTAGAGATTCAGAATAAACTTGATTTAAAAGGTTTTTTCCACATGCACATTGTGAAATTTTTAAATGATTTCTTTGTTAAGTGATGATATGTGTGAAAATCCAGAGAAATTGTTTCAACATTAAATAAATAAATAAATAAATAAATAATAATAATAATAATAAACCCTAAATAAATTTTGAGAGAGATAAGGTAGGCATGTTCACTATCAGGAAAACCTGTGTCAAATTTTGTTGATCTAGATTTTTCTACCTTTGCGCTGTATGATACGCATACACAATTTTTTTATTTGATTTTCATGGATGACTGAAGAACAATGAATTTTACTCATTATCTGAATTTCACCAAGATAATATATTTTTCATCCTAAAAAATGTTTCACAGAGATAGAAAAATTGTATATCAATTATGGCATAGTAATAAATAAAAAGTTATTCTTCATGTTAGCTGCAATCACATATTTTTATTTTTAAACATAAATCTACACATGAAAAATGAAATGTTACATTAAAGTGCTAACAAATGGCACAGCATTGTTCAAATAATACAACCAGAAAGGGGGGTATATATTTATAAGAACATTAAAAGGTCCCTGAAACTGAAAGTATTAGATTTACTGCCGATTCATATTTTGATGAAATGAAAATGCAATAGATACCTGGAACTAAAATGCTGTTGAAGCCTGAATTATATCCAATACCCAAAACATCTTCATATGGACAAAATTGAAGATCTGAAATAGTAGATGTAGTCTTGTGACGCAAATAAGGAGCTTTGGCAGTTTGAGTACAACAATCTTTATACACCTAAAATTATATTATTTTAAAAATTAATTCAATTTTTAAATTCTACACTTTCAAAAGATTATCAAATTAACCGTTGGTTTATACTGATGCACCTAAAGAGACCTGCTTTTTAATGCAAACATAAATAGAAGCTATATTAAATCAGATAGCAATTTTACTTTTCTAAAATATTAAAAACAATTAAAAAGACATACAAATATTATATTATATAATAGTTATTGTGAAAATACATTTGGTGTTTAACCTAAAATGGTCAATATGTGCTAAGTATATTATAAAAAAATGGTCTGTGATATTTTGGTATTCAATTAATTCTGATATTGCAATCCAAATGCTCTTTTTAACCCTTTTTCCATGTGAGCATTTCTAGTATAGAAAGCAGAACCTAAGATACATTTATGACACCCACCAGGAGACACAGAATTATGATCTTAAATTTGAACTCTTTGTTGAATTAGCTTCTCATTATTAGGTCTCTTTATAAAGAATTAATGAGCAGTTAATAAAAGTAAGAACTTGCAATGTTGTCAATTTTCAAGTCTGAATTACAAATTCATTATAGATGACAATCATCTCAGGCTGTATATACTACACATGCGATCAGAGACTTCACCGTAATGTGAACTTCTTTTACAATTCCCAGCTTACTTCCTCTTTCTTTTCTTTTGCAAGGCCTGTCAGTAATATATGTTCCCTGTTTATGCTTTTGCTTCTTATGTCTCTTACATCTTATCTGCCCTATTTTATAGAACTCAATTCATAATACTGTTACTGCCATGGCTTTAACAAACATGTATAAGCTACACTACAAAATGCTTTCCAAAGTACTACATTATATCACGATAATATGAAGGTAAACTTCGTAACATATTTTCTGGGACAACATTGGTAGCCATGCAATAAAGAACTGCAAAGAATTTTCTCATGGATTAAATAAAGATTGATTTCTTTTTTCCATAATTTGATGCAATTATGTATGCTAAACAAAAAGGAAGAAAAAAAGAAGCTGTTCTAATTAACTTAATTGTGAAATCTGGAAACTTTTTTCAAACACTTCTTACTTTAAAACAGTGGAAATACTAGTAAATTAGACTTAATGTTAGCTCTAAAAGAAACTGGTTAGTTGGAAAGATGAAAAAATTTAAAAAAAAGGGTAAAAATACAGTTGGAATGCAAACAAATAAAGCATATTACAATAACAGATCATAAATATGATGCTCAGATGCACACACACACACTAAATCCAGTGCATTAGATTAAGAAATGGGAAAGTTACTTTAATTTTATTAGGAAAAAAATATTCCCTCAAGCTACTTGCATTACTTAAAAACCATATAATAAGCATTAAGTTTGGAATGATACTCCTCAGGAAGATTAATTATAAATAATAAAACATCTAATTTTAAACAGGAATGTAAAATAATCAAATTCAAAAGCAAATTTTAGAAGCTCTTGTAAATTACAATTGTATTCTACACATGTATATTGTATATACTGACCTCAACTACATTTCCAAGACCAACTGAGAGCAAACCAAGTTGACTAAAATCCAAAAATCCTGCAGCAGCACCTAATTTATAAGACTGAAGACATTTAAAAGTTCGAACATCGTAAATTTTCATACTTCTGTCCATACTTGCAGTAGCCATATACCTAATGACAACAAAATAAAAAAATACATAAAAGCATCGGCAAAATTAATTTTAATAACTATAAGGGAACAACAAGACATACACTGGTGCAAACAATTCTGAAATGCAAAAAGCACCCCCAGAAATGGGCCTTGAAAAAAAATATATATAAAAGATCCTAATAAAAATCAACTGTGTACACTTTAGAATGATACTTAAGATAAATGCAAATTTATAAATTTTTTTTAGAAAACAAGTACAAGTGATGTATTTTAAAAATTGAAGCAAATATGCAAGATCAAATACTTCATAGACAAAAGGTGAAAAAAATTAATAAAAATTTCAGGACAGCTACTGACACTTACGCTGATTACGGAAAAGCTTTTATAATGTATTAATTACACTACACCTCATGAAATTAATCTCATTATTCAACACTGTTCCTTTGTTAAACCTGTCTCTATTTTGCCAGCCTCGTTCTTTTTGTTTACTTATTTTTTAAAGAAATATACACATTGTTTCATAAATCATACTTCAACAAACATTAAATCATATTTTAAAGCAGGGTTCCTTAAACTGTGGGTCATGACCACCAGGACCTGCAGCAGGGGTCGCAAAAATTTTAGCAGTTTTGATATTTCTTTAACTTATTATAATTTTAGAATTACCAAATATTTTTACATAATGTATCTGAAAATAGATAAAGATAAGATAATACAGACAAAGAAAAAAACGAAAACGTTTTGACGCATTCTCTTTATAATATAAATGTTCATTTTTCATTTTCAACCATTTTCCTTGCTTTGCACATGACGCTGTCATTTCGTCTGTTACTTATTAAAATTTTCATATTGTTCTATGTCTTAAAATTAGAAATTAAAGTTAATGACCTAAAACTGCAATAGTGTATTACAATACAAATGAAAAAACTGAAGGTTTCACTCATGCGTGTGTTGGATTTACGCAATATTTATGGGGTCCTACAAAATTTTTGTAAATATTATGGGGTCCTGGGGGTCATGAAAAGATCTCAGTGATAAAAAGGGGTTGCGACTGAAAAAAGTTTAAGAAACCCTGTTTTAAAGCATGAAAAAATATTTTATTTTTGTTGAAATGGTTTTAACAAGAAAACAGCATTACAAAACTAATAATAGCGTAAAGAACGCTAGTCAGAATGCAGACTATCACTATTAGCAGCTCTGAAGCAACTTGATGAACAATATCACCACCAGAAGATCACTGACTGCAAGAATTAATGCCAATTTTCTTCAATGAAAAACCTTTAAGAGAGAACTCAGTCCTAAACTTTACTGACAAATAGTTTTGAAAAATCAATGATTGGTTTTAAAACCTTCTAAAAGATTAAATGAGGGGAAAGAAGAAGAAACTAATGCATAGCAGTTTCTGGCATAAACTGCGATCCATAATTTTCATGCATCATCATTTCTGTTCACAGTTATTTGTACTTTCTATTGCTGGTAAAAAAAAAAAAAAAAAAAAAAAAAAAATTATAATTTTATAATTTGATATTTTGTTTGTAAAATAAACTGCCAGTCCTTTGTTAAAATTTTCATACCTCACCACTACTTTTACGGCATACCTTGCAAGATTAGTCAGTTACATAAACATTATGTTCCTCAAAGTTTTTTTCTCAATTAAATATGCATTATTTAAAAATTAAGAAACTAGTTTTTTTTAACTATATGAGAATTATTTTATATTACCTAAACTAGTTTGGTCGTTATGGCAATGTGACCCTATAAAAATGCAAATGACACTAAAAAAACAATTTTGTTACCCCACTCAGAACACTGACTCTTAGTCATGCTCCATCAATACACATTTTTAGAATTTTCATATACTTGTGACCCCAAAACTATTACTATTCATCTATTATACCTAAAAATACTACTTATAAACACATTTAAATTATTTTCTAAAAAATTACACATTCCTTCTACTCAATAACTGCATAAATTACACACAATTGTAAATCTTAATCAACAGGCAGTTAAAATTTATTCAAACTTCATAATAACACTGAAATTGCTAATAATGATGACAATATACAAATCTTAATGATCACACAAGAGAGAATAAAAACTATTTTGAAAAATGAATATTAAAATTATAAATTTCACATACAAGCCTTTAGAATCAATGGCAATTGACCTTATTGGATGAGCATGGCAAAGCATTCTGATAAGAGGTTTATCTACATTTGGAGACCACATACTAACTGTTCCTATAAAATAAAATTAAAAAATAATTCAATTTTTATAAACTTGACACAAATCCTTCCATACTGATATAAAATACTAGAACCTAATTCATTCATCTTACTTAAGCATGAGGCTTACACCATGCATAAATAATTAACAGACATTCCTCTAGGAATATAAAATCCACCTTTGGTTCAATTTATGAAGCAACACATTAAAAAACTGACTAACTCATAGCATAATATATGAAATCTCAGATAGCTGTAACACACAAATTTGATAAATGCTTTCAAAATTCAAATAATAATCAATGACTTTGGAAATTTACATTCTCAAAAAGCACTGATGGTTATTTAGAAACTATTAAAAAATTTTAATGTCAATCCTAAAATATCAACTAAGCTTTGTAAGACTTATTTCTTAACTTTTAGGAAATGCATAATACAGTCTTTCATGATAGATAGAGGGAAAGAAATGAATGAAAATAATTTTAAAATTATTTTATTTAATGAAGAAATAAAGTAAATAAATGTTTATATTTGTTGTCTGAAATTAAGTTTCATATCTTATTCTAAATATAAAACATATTTAGATATTTCCTTTTTTAATACGCTTTTAGATGCTTGAATTTGATGATCTCTCTCTCTCTCTCTCTCTTTTTTTTTTTTTATAATCTTTGCCTATTTCTAAAGAGGAGAGAGGGGACGGAGGTACTATTTCTCCTGCTGGTGTAATATTTGAACACAGAAATTACTTTTTCTCCTTGTTTGCCACAGGATATCCACCCATGAAACTGAGCCATGTTTCCATGTTTATACAAAAGCAAAAATTTAAATCAGTTTTGCATGAGCATACATATGGTAAAACTATTTTTTTTTTGGTCATATCCAGGGTTCGTAAGCTTTTCTGCACATGGAAATTAAGTACTTTTAAGTACTTTTAAGGACCATTAATGAAAAAATTAAGGACCTATGAGCAAATGAGAACTGAACAAATTCAACTAAAAATACTATCTGTGCCTGAACTTCACTTTTGTAATACCGTCCTAAACAGAAAAGTAGGATGCATTACTATGAGGGCAATCCCAAAAAAAAGGTCTCCTATTTTTTGGGGATGTAGAGAAAGTTTTAATACGGTTGTTGGCAACACTGTTGTGAGTGGTGTCTTCTCCGCTACCACACAAGCACGCAGGCGCTTCGCTCGGATGCTCAGTCTTGGCTTGGCAGCCATTCGAAATGGAGCTCCCGATAAACGTTACTGCTAAGTGCAAAGTGCGCGCAGTTATTCGATTTTGAATGCAAAAGGCGTTTAAAACCGGTTGAAATTCCCCGCCTATTGACGGAAGTGTATGGACAGTCGTGCATGGATGTCAAAAAACGTTCGCAAGTGGTGTAGAGAGCTTACAGCCGGTCGTACTGAAATTCATGACGAGAAAGGAGGGAGGCCGTCTATTGCCGACGGAACTTTGGATTGTTGAGTTGCATTCGTTGAGTTCGTGATTGTTAGTTCGTAAAATGCGTAAAGATCGGAGGATCATCTGATGCTCCTGAAGCTCTCAACATTTCCTGAAGCCATGGCGCAGCTGGTTGCTGGGATGTAAAAAACCACAGCGTTCAAAATAATCGACCGAAATGGCGATATTTGAAATAAAGCTCTTCAATCTTTAAAGTGAGTAGCTTATAGAAATAAAGGTCTTGTATATCTAAAATATAGAGACTATTTTTTGGGATTGCCCTCGTATTAACATAACTTAATTACAGGGTTCGTACACATTTCCTTACATGAAAATTAAGGACTTTTAAGGACCATCAAAGAAAAAATTAAGAACCTATCAGCAAAACAAAAAAATGAATAGAATAAAGCAATTATCCATACAACCGACTTCATGCTTGTAATTTCACTTTAAGAAACTAACAGAAGTGTGTATTATGCACTATTAATTAAATTCAATTTAATACTTACCATAAAACAATTTTGAAAATTAAACTAACTCCCTACAAGTTATGAAGTAGATAACATTAAATTAGGAACATAATTTCTTGAAAAAAACATGTATAAGTGTATTTTACACTAATAACAGTCACTATTTTAGAGATTTACATGATTATTATTTAACTTATTTGATATTTATTTAAACACAGTCAACTACTATTATAATCACAATGTAAGAATATTTTGCAGATTAAAATAACTGATTTGTAAACATACAATTTATTTCCTTGGTTTTTTGAAAGATACTAGAATAATAAACTGTACAATAAAAGATACAAAACATTTGTGCTTTTTTTAAATCTGAAATCTTTTCAGCTATTTTAACATCTAATTTATTTATGTCTATTTCCTTTTCTTTAACTATTCTTCTAAGTTCATTTGCTTTGATAAACAAATCAATGTTCCTGCTGGTCTCAGCTTCATCTGCTAAAGCATCTACTTCTTCATTAATATCTTTAATGTCCCTTTGAAGAAATTTTTCTTCTGCTTCATATAATCAATTTCTTCCTCAATAATATTTCTTTTCCTCTTTGAATTTTCAGATTTAGTTAAAGATTTTTGTTCTTCTAAATACTGAACTTCTAAATAACGAACTCCACTTCTTGCAGAAGCTGCTGCTGATCTCATTTCTTTATTAATTTAGATATTAAGAACACCTCCAGAAAATTTTATGTAATCAAATACTGTGCGTTGTTGAAAAATGTATGATGAGTCACTTAAATTTTCAATTTCAATTGCTTTATTTACAGAGAAGCCCCTTTCCACAGAGGCCTGTTCATGTGACAAGATAAGAATACTTGTCACAGTGAATACTTGAATAGTGAAAATATACATTTTTTACTATATATATATAATTTATTTCCTAAACAATATTGATTAATTGATTATATTATCTCCTAAGTTTAATTAAAGTAGAATTATTTTAAAAGAGTGAATCCATACTGGTAAGTTATATTTTGAAAGATGTATATATATATATATATACAGTACAAAGTCCGAGATCCGGACATCCAATATCTGGAATGATCTAAAATCCGGACCTCAAAGCCACCACCAACCAATTTTTTAGGGCTTTTTTGAAGGGAAGGGGTATGCTTTACGCACGCGCATTAGATTTTTTTCCTCATCATAAAAAAAATGTCGGAAATCCCGATTCTTAATCTCAGTTTGGCGCTAAATAAAATATCTCATTATTGAAGAAATAATTATTTTAGCATAAATTTGTGTGATGATTAGTAACTTGACTCCATAGCTGCGTATCTGCTTGGCATAATCTCAAACCGAAACATTTGTTAATTTTACACCAACTAATATTTTATATCCTTGATGCCGAAATCGCGAATCATTATTTATTGTATTTTGCTTTCATCACCGCATGTTTATCAACGGATGACAACTTGAGTGATGAATCATGCAGCGACGCCAAATAACAGAGTATTATCCGATTACAGATTTAAGTTTAATGCGCTAAAATGTTGACAAGGGGAGATTTAGCAGAAATTTCTTTCCTTATGCTAAAAATAGATTTTGTTAATGATACTCATAGGACAAACGATTATATTTAGTGCTATTTGAATTAAGAATAACTGATTTGTTATTCACATAAAGCCAGAACCAGCGCCAGAGCTCGCATGGCCGCACCAGGCGGCAGAATTTAGCGAAGTTAAACAGAAGTTTTTCATTGCGATGACAATGCCCAATCATCAATCAATTAACGGAGGGCGAAATCTGTAGTATGGTTCTAAATCCAGAAAATACAGCTACCGATAGTGAAGAAAGTAACAGAGAGGTTACTGAACGAGAAAAAATTTTGATTGACAAGTTATTCGGAATTCTCGACACAGCAATTACAGGACTTGAACAATGGAACTTAATAACTGAACAAGAAATTATATGTCTATAGTATTAGTCTAAAGTATTAGCAGAGAAAACAAATCAAACAACTCACATTGAAAGAAATGTTTAATAAAGTAAACATATAAATATTAAGCTCTTTTCTTTTGTAAATTTTGATACCCTTTAAATCATAAATGCTTCATTATTTCATAAATCACGATTTCATATTTTCAATTTTATAATTTCTACGTGCCATCTTAGTAGATTTAAAATGATCTAATATCCGGAAAAATCTCAAATCTGGGATCGCCGAAGTCCCGACGAGTCCAGACCTCGGACTTTGTACTGTATAAATATATATATATATATAATACGGAATGTATATTTCAGTTAGTTAAACTTCTACCCAATAACTTTAGTAATTCATGAAAGTTAATTTTGCGTCTAGTTAATTCAGGAAAATTAGTTTCAATTAGTTGTTTTCAGCTTTAAAAATATTAAAAAATTTTTAATTAGTTAGTTATTTTCAACTAATAATTGTATCGCCATTAGCAAAAATTATGCATTACTATCAACAACATAGGTTTAAACCAAATACTTAATTGTCTATTGAAGCTTCAAAACGTATTTCCGAACTTCACTTTTTCTCGGCTAGCGTTACCGAATTTGCCCTTGGCGACCTAAAATCGAAATGGAGCCAACAGATTTCCCGCGAAATCGATAACAGACCCTCTGCAGAAATAAACTCATAATCCCGATATCCCATACATATAGTATGTGCAAAAGAGAATAAACTCCGTAGAAGGTGATAAAAAATTAATTTATGGCTTAATTGAAACAAACACAGAAATTAAGCTAAGCAAAACCGTGTAAAAACAAATTGAAATGATAAAACGAAACTTAATTTTCATGTGAATTTTCAGCGCTGACTCTCCCATTCTAGAAATTTCAATTTGTTTCAGACAAAGACCACATTTAAGGATTGCCATCCATCAATATCCAGTCTTTGTAGTCAGCTTGATGAAGCCACAGTTTATTGAAAATGCACTTTCCAGGCATCTCGTTCCTATTGGCGTCGGAAGGGTTGTGGCCTTCCAGGTTGGGATTGCTCTAATTTTGGCAAATATTTTCAGAATCCCCCCCCCTTTTTTTTTCTCGAGCACCTTCATCATCACTTTCGCCTCTTAAAGAACTT